GCAGAGCTATAAATCATTTCTGCCTGCCTGGCCCTCCCAGGCTGTCTTGGTCCCCCCCCCCCCCCCCAATGAACATTAGAGCCAAGTGGAGCTGGGAGTAGGGGCACCAAGCTAAGATGTGGGCTGAGGAACAGCCTTCAAAACTGGCTGGCTCCTCTCTGCCTCTGGGTCCGGAGAATGGTGCTATGTCCAACGCATTATGGTGTTTTCAACTAGGAGCACCCATAGTGGACCATACCCATCTGTCCCTAGGGCCCAAAGGCTAGGGGAGAGAATTTGGACCACATAGTGATGGCAAAAAGGCAGAACCTGAACTTGGGAATGAGGTGAAGAAGTAACAGAAGAAACCCGGGCGAATTTTGGTTCTGTTCTTTCCCAAGCCGTTTGCCAACAGAAATCCAGAAGACCTACAACAGGCAGGTAATGTTTTAGCGTTACACCCACAGGGGCTCTAATCCAGGAGAATTGCTAGTGAGCACCCAACCCGAGGCCCCTCACCCCCAGACTGTGCTGGCCTCTCCCTGCCCCCTCCACACCCCAGCTCAGCCCTGGCTTCCGGCCTCTCCCTGGCTCACCTTTGGGCAGCTTGGACGGGTTCTCCTGGATCCAAGAGAAGAGGTGGGCGAAGTCGCAGTCGCAGAGCCAAGGGTTCCCGTCCAGGCGCACCGTGCGCAAAGCGGGCAGCGTCTCCAGGGCGGCCACGCTGAGGCTGCGCAAGTTGTTGTTGTTCAGTTCCAGCACCTGCAAGGACTCCAGGCTCTCGAAGGCAGCCTCGTGCACGCCAGCCAGACGGTTGTTGGCCAGGCTCAGCTTGACCAGCCTCCCAGCGGAGCGGAAGGTGCCTGCGCCCAGCTGGGTGAGATTGTTGTAGCTAAGGTCAAGGAAGGCGAGCTTGGCAGAGCCGCTGAACGTGCCCTCCTCCAGCGAGCGCAGCGAGTTGTTCCTGAAGTCCAGATAGACCAGGTCGCCGTGGAAGATGAAGAAGTCCTCGGGGATCTGCTGGATGCGGTTGCTGGCCACCAGCAGCTTGCGTACGTCCAGGGGGAAGGGATCCGGTACGCTGGGCAGCCCGCGATCGCTGCAGTCCACAGTGTGAGGGTCCGTGCAGGTGCAGCCAACGGGGCACGCGCATCCCGGCCCGAGCAGCAGCAGGAGGCTGCCGAGCCCCAGCGCCACGGTGGCACCCGCGGGGCGGCGGGGGACAGCGCGGGGACGCATGGCCCCGGGACCCGGGAGGACGCGGCTCTCCGGGACTAGGCAGGCGCAGCGGGAACCCCGACTGCCGTGCACCGGGAGTCCGAGGGTGACGGGGCGTTGGGGGGGGGGGCTGCGCCTAGGCGTGCGGGGGCGACGAGCGCGGCGGGGACAGAGCGACCCGGGGTGTCCGGGCGGCGAGGGAGGAAGGAGAGGTGGGCAGGCAGCGGCGAGGTGCTTGGCGCTGGAGTCACCCGCGCGGCAAAGGGACCCGCTGGAGCATCCCGGGACACAGGCGGAGACCTCAGGGGGAGCCCAGCGCGACCCCTTTCCGGCAGGGAAATGGGACCTGTCGCTCAGACCTGGCCAGCGGCGCTGAGCGACTAAGTTCAAAGACCGATCCCTGGAGCGATTTCCATAGGGCGTGTCTGGGGCATGCGCCCCGCGCGCCTCCCTCCATCCCCACTTAAGGAGCAGGGCCCAGGTCACTCAAGATCGGTGTCCTGAACAATCCCCGCGGGCTATCAAGTCCCCTCCTGAGGCTGCCAAGCTGAGTTAGGGCTGGACTCCAGGGTGGTTGGGTTTCCCCCTCATTCCTCCCTCCTCCCAGCTGCGTTTGGGAGATCTCAGTGAGAAGGAGTGTGTGAGCTCGGCAGGATGCTGCCAGGTCCTTGCTGTGATCGGAAGGATGGCCAGGACCAGTCAGCATTTTCCATGCTGGTCCTGAGCTCGGCGATGGAACTGGCTATCCTCAGAGGACGGATCTGCTCTGGGTCTGAGCAAGGCCCAGCAGAGAGGCCCTCCTGACTAAGGTTGGGAAGAAGTTGTGTCACCTGAGTCCAGAGCCTGGTGAACCCCCCTGAACTGTAAAGCCATCTGTGAAATGGGGAGAGTAACTGTTATCTCATCACTAGGTGTGAGGACTCGGGAGACCAGAAGAGATGTCTGGGAATTATCTACTGCCCTTCCCCTCAAGTCCTTCAGTTTTGGTGGTCTAGGAAGGTGATCAGAGCTATACCAAGTCTCAGAGGCCAGCCCAGCAAGTGGTGAGGTTGGACTTAGTAATGGCATTCCTTCCCAAGCTTCCAAGCACCCATCCCCATTTCTCTTTCTTTCCTCCCACCCCAGTTTAGAAACTTTTCCTTTGGGAAAGCCCCCACAGAGCCACGGGGGGATTGTCCTGCTTGTGACTATTTTAATTCAAAGACCCTGGAATTGACAGGCTCCCTCTGGCCCAAAATAACCCAGGGACCAGCTGTCAGCAACAGGCCCCCATGGACCCTGCCCTTGCCTCTGGCTCTGCTGGGATTGGTGGGGACGGTTATTCCAAAGCCCCAGAGCTAAGCTTGGGTATTTTTTCCAAAGGCACAGCCAGTTGGTGCCTCTGAGCCCTGGGATCAGGCAACTGAGCCTCTGGGATGGAGCCAAGGGTCCAAGGGGAGAGAGTTTGCAGGTGTGCTGGGAGAAGTTGGGCCCCTCAGGATCTTCCCCTGCACATATCCAGGCCACCAAGTGAGACTTCAATCCTGACTTGAGTCCCCACTCTCCCAAGGTCCCCAGTATGCTCCTGCAGTCCCCAGCTTCAGAGGTTGCCCCGACCCCTCCTTTCTGGTCTCACCCTCTTGAAGAGGTGGTGCTGGGAGGGAGGGTCTGGGGTGGGTAAGGGTGCCTGAGCTGCACTGGTGATATTGAAGGGCCTGGGGTGGGTAAGGGTGCCTGAGCTGCACTGGTGATATTGAAGAGCCACTCAAGGTGCAGGCCAGTGACAGGATAAACCCATTGCCTCCACCCCCAACTCTGCCAAAGCACCCCGAAAACAGCTGCTGTCCTTCCCAACCTCAGCCTTCCCTCTGGCTGCTCGTACCAGGGCTGAGGGACACCCAGTCCCTGTTTGAGCATCATTTTGTTTTGTGACACCTGATTGGTTGGTCTGCAGTTTTGTCCTTCCTGTGCCTGAAAGTCTGAGTGTGCACAGGAGCCTTCAGGCCAAGGAAGGGGTCTGGCTAGCCGCAGCCCTACCCTGTGAGTCAGCTCCCTACCCGTCCCCTGGTGTCTGGTCCTGGTTCTGCCACTGACCACAGGATCACAGGGCAACTCACTCAGTCTTTTTGAAGACTCCTCACACTTTGTTAAAGATCAGCTCTTCAGGGGCTGGAGAGATGGCTCAGCAGTTAAGAGCACTGGTTGCTTTTGCAGAGGACCCAGGTTTGAATCCTAGCACTCACATGGTGGCTAATAGCCATCCTAACTCCAGTTCCAGGGGATCCAATGCCTCTTCTGACCTCTGTGGGCATTGCACAACATGGGTGCACTTACACACATGCAAGAATCCCAGCACCCACTTGGCAGTTAACAACTGTCTGTAATTCTAGTCCCGGGGGATCCAACAGCCTCTTCTGACCTCCGAGGGCATTGCATGACAGGGGCGCACTTCCCTACATGCAGGCAACACACATACACATAAAATAAAAATAATTTTTAAAAATTATTATTTCAAATAATGAATTTTAAAAGTTTTTCAAATCAACTCTTCAAATTTCAGTCTGGTGAAAAGTGGGCTTTTATCTAGGTCACCTAGAATAAACACAGCAATTCTTGGCAGTAAACTTGGTGCCTTGAAGTGGGTCTTTTGTGCTGAGCAGACACTTTTAACTGGCACTCACAGATGACTTGATCAATGAAATGGTGAATTTCTACCTAACACATACGGTATGTCACCGGTAAACTCATGCAAAAAGGGGCCACGTATCTCTATTAGCAAAACAACACAGGGGCTTCTGGAAATGGAACCACTGAGAAAGGCCTCTCCTGGCCTTGACTCCCTCATCCTGACATGGAGAAGAAAATGTTTCCTTTCCCCTTGCACAGACAGCGAGAGGGCATGAGGGCAATTATTTGTATGAAAACGTGACTTGAAAAATGTTGGAGAAGTCACTGCATGGGAGAGTGACCACACATCTCCCCGTGGAAGGAACTCCTTGCATTTTTGCTTAGAGTGTCTCTGCAAAGTCCCTCAGATTCAAATCTAAGTGGGTTTTTTGTTTTGTTTTGTTTTGTTTTGTTTTGTTTTTATTGTGTCAACAGGGTCAGACACAGCTGAGGCTCGTCGGGACCAGGACCAGGAGGTCCCCCATATTAGAGGATTCTCATTCCTTGGGAGAATGGAAGCATGACCTCAGCAAGGTCATGCGGTGAGTCAGGGACTGGAGCAGGAAATAAAACACAGTCATTGTGGGTCCCCACCTGCTCCACTCTCCCTGTGTCCTCTCTGGAGGGGGCCTCTTAGGATGACAGAATGAAGTGCAGGTAAAGAGACCTGGAGAAACTTCCAGAGAGTCTGTTGGTCAGCAGCACTCTTGTGTTTACTTTCTGAGGCAACGCCTGGTGGTTCCTGTTCAAGGGGTTTAGAGCCATAAAGTGCCCAAGCTATCCAATGGATGCTTTACAAACTTAAGGGTCAGGCCAGGGAGATGGCTCAGTGCTTAAAGGAATTTGCTGCCAAGACTGATAACCCCACATGTGGAAAAGAGAGAACCAATCTTGCAAGTTGTCCTCTGACCTCTATATGTGTGCCATGGAACAGGAACACACACACACACACACACACACACACACACACACACACACATTAAATGAATAATAAAAATGCTTTTAAAACATAAAGTCGGGCTAGAGACATGGCTCAGCAGTTAAGAGCACTGCCTGCCCTTGCAGAGGATCCAAGTTTGAGTCCCAGCACATGGCAGCTAACAATTGTCCATAACTTCAGTTCCAGGGGATATGACGCCCTCTTCTGACCTCCGAAGGCATTGCACAACATGGACGCACCTAAATACATGCAGGCAATACACTCATACACATAAAATAAAAATAATAAATAAAATCTTTTTTTTAAAAAAAGTAAGGTCCTCAACCTCCCTCCCTCGACCCCAAAATCCTCATCCCTCCTGTGTTTCCCAAGCTTCAGAGTGCTTGCTGTCTCGTCTTATTCGCATCAAGGAGTGGGGTCTAGGGGAGCTGTGTGTATGCAAGTCCCCTGGGAACCCCCCAGGTGGGGTCTGAGAGCAAAACCAATCCAGCAGCCTGGCTTTCCCACTTTGTTACTAGAGTGACATCTAAATTAGCCAAAGTCTGCCAGAGTGTCAAAGGCTACCATTGGAATGATAAAAATGTGGCTGGTGTTTGGTGATGTCATTTGGATTACTGGTGTGAATCACTTTTGATCAATACCTGCGTGCCTGGGACGGAGAAAGGAGGACACTCTTTTGGCCCCCAGGAGGAGAGGACTCACTATAGCCCTTTGCCTAAAGCAGCTGGACTAAGAACAGGCTTTCTCACTGATGTGTGTGTGTGCCCCCTACTATAAGGCTCAACACAAACCCTCTTGAACTTACCACCACCAGAGGGAGCCACATGCTGCCCACACTGCTAAGAACTGAGAACCCTAGACTCCTGTGTGTGTGTGTGTGTGTGTGTGTGTGCGCGCGCGCGCCAGCGGGAATGCCTGCCTCTTTTTCTCTTCTGGAACTGAGAAATGAATCTTCCACCAGCCTAGTCAGGAGGCAAGGGGGTAATGGATGTAGGGAACATGGGTTTGGAATCAGACACACCTGGGTTAAATTTGGACTCTGTCACCTTGGGCAAGTGACTTGCTTTCTCTTAGACTCAGTTTGTCTACCTCTGAAATGAAATGAATCTTCCACCAGCCTAGTCAGGAGGCAAGGGGGTAATGGATGTAGGAAACATGGGTTTGGAATCAGACATACCTGGGTTAAATCTGGACTCTGTCACCTTGCTTTCTCTTAGACTCAGTTTGTCTACCTCTGAAATGGATAACATGAGGGCCTCTTTCTTTGGGTTGCTATGAGGATTAAATGAGAAGCTGCCAAGGGCTTGGCAGTGAAATTGTCACATGGTCACATAATAACTGATAATCTGTCCTGGTATATTTACCTTTATATCCATAGCAGATAAGACGTCAGGTAAACTCTTTTTGCTCTTTTAGAGTTGAAATGAAGGCCTTGTACATAGGAGGCAAACACTCTAGTGCTGAGCTATGTGCTCAACTGTCTATTGTTTTATAGGGTTTTGCTTTGCTAGTCAGGAGGCAAGGGGGTAATGGATGTAGGAAACATGGGTTTGGAATCAGACATACCTGGGTTAAATCTGGACTCTGTCACCTTGCTTTCTCTTAGACTCAGTTTGTCTACCTCTGAAATGGGATAACATGAGGGCCTCTTTCTTTGGGTTGCTATGAGGATTAAATGAGAAGCTGCCAAGGCTTGGCAGTGAAATTGTCACATGGTCACATAATAACTGATGATCTGTCCTGGTATATTTACCTTTATACCCATAGCAGATAAGACGTCAGGTAAACTCTTTTTGCTCTTTTAGAGTTGAAATGAAGGCCTTGTACATAGGAGGCAAACACACTAGTGCTGAGCTATGTGCTCAACCATCTATTGTTTTATAGGGTTTTGCTTTGTAACCCTAACTGGTCTGGTCTAGAACTCAA